TTAAAAAAAAAAGGAGCAAATTAGCAGGTGTTAGACAACCTTTATTTAAACAGAGAAAATACTGAAGTTGTTAAGGATCTCATTTTACTTGGATCCATAATCAATGCTCATGGAAGCAGAAGTCAGGAAATCAATGTACTGCATTGGGAATATCTGCTGCAAAAGATCTCTTTAAGATATTAAAAAGCCAAGATGTCACTTTGAGTGAGATCCACATCAGGAAGGACCAGTCCCTGGAGAAGGACATAATGCCTGGTAGAGGGTCAGTGAAAAAGGGGACTCTCTTAATAAAATGTATTGACAAGGCTGGTGGCTGCAACAATGAGCTGACACATCAAGTTATGAAGACAGAATGTTTTGTTCTGTTGTACATGGGTTACTAAGAATTGGAACCACCTCGACAGCATCAAATACTGATTATTTAACCTTGACTGATGTCCACAGCTAGTACACTATGAAGTCTATATTCCTTGGTTTCTCAAATTAATTGTGGGAACATTCATGAAAACTTAAGTAGGATTCTGCACTGAAGATCGTTTTACTATAATTAACTTTGAACATAAAACTGAATACTATACATGATAGATAATGGCTAATTCATACATTGTCAAGTCCCACTGGGAGGTTCCAACTCATAGCAACTATGTACAGGGCTTCCAAGAAGTGGCTGGTGAGTTTGAACTACTGACCTTGCGATTCAAACCTACCTTATGGTCCAGTGCTTAACCTACAGCACCATGGCCAAGACTCCAGTTTATACTAATGGAAAAAAAAAAAAAAGACTATAGCAGACTTAACACCAAAATGACATAGCTCTTCAGCAAAAGGATGGAAATATACATCTAAAATAAATTAAGGTTTCCATTTATTTTGATTCTCCTACAATTAACTGACCAGAGATGTGAAAGATTCTGCAACATGCTGTAATTTAAGAATTTAAGCGACACCATGTCATATTCACCCTTAACATTGAATTGAGCTATCCATTGTACCCTCATAAAGCCTGAAAATAAGGCTTTTGGCTTGAAATCTGTTGTTTTTATTTGTTCTGGCTAGTTCAGAATAAAAATGGCGCTCTCAAGGCATACTCAACCCTAGATTTGAGGGTGTGAATGAAAACCAACATACGAGGAAGGAAGGGGCGACCTAAAAGCATCATCAAATGCTCAACTGGCCAGTGTCATGTTAACACAGCCTTGACATGTCCTTTTCTATTTCACTCCACAAGTAGAAATTTTATGGCTCAAGTGTCTTTTTTGATATGTTCCTTCAAGTAGGTTCTCATACCGATCCTGTACAGGGTTTCAGAGAGCAGCTGGTGGGTTTGAACAGCCGACCTCATGAATACAGACGGACTCAGTGCTTTTCCTACAATACCACACCAAGACTCTGAAATGTCTTAGAGCACCTACAGAATCATGAATTTGTACGTCTGTCAAAATGCAAACCCCGTTCTTACAAAACAAAAAAATGTTTGAACTTTTAAGTAGGTCCTAGTGTGGCTCTGTAGGATAAAGCACTGGATGGCAAGGTCCGTTTGAACTGCAGGGTTGGTGGTTCAAACTCACCAGCCGCTTGTTGGAAACCCTATACAGGGTCCCTATGAGTAATTACCAATTCAATGACACGTAACAACAACACGGGCAGTAAAGAATGCAAAGAAAATGCAAAAGTGAGTGAAAAGTCCAAGCTATGATATGCCGAGACAATAGTGGTTTGAGAAATTGCTGGTGACCTGTTAGAAAGGACATGTCTAGTCTAGGTTCTGACAGTCTACTATAACTCTTTAATGTATGATACATTCTCACTCTACATTTTTACTTCAGCCAAGGGTTTTCTGGAGTTTTAATTTGTGCAGTGAAAACAAGTTAAGTGCCTTCAAATCACACCCTCCTTTCATTCCTCAACCCCATTTTTCCAATCACTGTTCTAGCACAGAGCAATTTGCTATTAACTAAGGATAAAGATGCCACCCCACCCCACCTTTAAGGGGCAGAGAGGACATGTTCAAACGTTTAAATGGTCAACTGTTTAACTGCAGCGTCATTAGGTTTATTTTGTTGTATGTCAGAGAACCCAGAGACAAGGTTTGTATAACGTAGCTATGGAGAAACACTTGGGTCTATTTGAAGGCTATGTGGACAGAAATCTTAGACTGAAAGCCTGGATAAAAGCAGGGCTTACCGATGATTGAATATTTTGTTTCAGAGCCACCCGCCCTTTGCCACAGAGTCAATTCTGACTCTGTGGTGACTCTCTATAGGGTTCCTGAGGGTGTAAGTCTTGATGAGAGCAGAAAGCCTCCTGTTTCTCCTACAGAAAGGCTGGTGGGTTTGAAATTCTGACCTTGCGGCTAATAGTCCAGTGCTCATCCTACAGTGCCACCAGGGCTCCTTTTTCAGAATCCACAAATAAATAAAACACATTAGTGATGGAATGACCAGTTTCCCTAAAATTAAGTCTGGAAGCCAAGCGATGTGGATATGAAGTTTTAAGCAATCATAATCCTTCAGTGCTTCATTTTACAAACTGAGTAAATGATAAAACAAATGCCTTATTGATGTCTTGAGGAAGTGACAATACCTATGAATGTGCTAAGAAAAACAGAAAACATATAAGTAAGTACTAAGATCTATTTTGGGTCCTTCAATTTCTGCCTGGAAGAAAAATGGTGACACTTTTCTACATTCTGCACCCTGCATCATCAAGATCTTTCTTTCTCCTTGATAGACGGTAACAAGGGTAGGACTAACTCTTGAGAACAAGGGCCATGACTATTATCTTCTCTGACACCACTGCTTTGATTGGCTATGCATTAGAATTCTTGAGTCAGAAAAGATCTTGGATAATCTCTTCCTAAAGCATAAGGCCTGGTGTGGTGCTGTAGGATAACTAGAGGACTGCAAAGTCCTTTGAACTGCACGTTGGTGGTTCAAATTGAACAACCACTCCTCGAAAACCCTAAACAGGGTTGATGCTGAGTTGGAACCAACTGGATGGCACTTAATATAGCATATAAGGGACTCTGGTGGTACGGTGGTTAAAGCAGTTGTTTTCAAACTGAAAGACTGGCAGTTTGAACCCACCAGCCACTCTACAAAAGATATAAATCTATATGTGCTTCCGTAAAGACTTACAGCCTTGAAAACCCCATAGGGCAGTAGTTCTAACTGTGCCCTTCAGGGTTGCTAGGAGTCAGAACTGACTCAACAGCACACAACAAAGATAACAGAGTATAATATACTTTTAGTCACCATTTTTGGTATATGGCAGACCTTCCTGCTTAACATTTGAAGGGTGGACTAGAAACGCCAGGATTCATTATTTATAGAATACTTTATTAGTTTCTGTAATCAAACCCATGTAGATAAGACCTTACATATTTAATACAGTGCGTTACCCCTGTACAAATGGGAAAAAAAAAATTAAGTTTAACGTTTCTAGACCAATATGGCTGTTAATTTCTGTACAATGCCAACTCAACACGGTACAACTGGGATACTTTTTTCA